CATGCAACCTTACATTCCCATCCATACGCAAATACCCACATCATACGCTGTACAAAGCAAATGCAACACTTGGCTTGGTTAAGCTCGACCAAGGGTCGGGCCAATTTTATTTATAGATTTAGCTCGCATTTACATAGCAGAAAACTAGGCTGATTTTCCTACAACAGACATTCCTCGAGGCAAACACAACGTATTATAACCCGAAAATGTATAAATATATAAATAAGTCATAAACTTTTCACGAGTTTGAAGGAATATCGCTTTCATCCCTACATGGGTAGAAGACTCCGTGAGTTTGTAGTTTCTTGAATGAATATCGTTTTTATTCTCAGCACTGGTACAAAGACCTAAAACTTCCATGAGTGGGCAGTTTTTTTAGGGAATATTGTTTCTATTCCCATGTACGGGTACGACGACTTACACTTTTCACGAATGCGTAGTCTTTTGAGGGAATAATCTGTTATAATAGGAATGTCAGAGCTATTATAGATTGTAGACTTGTAGTGCTCATCAGAGGAATTTGGATCAGGTTTTGGATGGTTGGGTTGTGTGACACCAAATTCTCGGAAATTTCTGTACATACACCCTGTCCCCAATTTTAAATTGACGCATTTTTACTCCCGACTTATCATGATTAGGTAAATCTGTTTCAAATCCCCCCTTTTAAGAATAAGGAGGCAGGAGTTTGACCAGTAACTGAATGAGGTGTAGACCTATTTAATAGAATAAATGCAGCTAGTTGATGAGATAAACCGAAAAAGCTTTTGCTGGGGTCTAACACTTCCTTAGTCAAGTTATATTTCACGGTCTGTATACTTCTCTCTGCTGCTCCATTAGATGCAGGATTGTAAAAAAGGTACAAAATGGTGTTGAATACCATTGTTTTTCATAAATGTTGCATCTGACACCAACGTTATCCAAAACGCAAAGTCTATATGAATGCGTTGCCCAGGGCGACTGCCAAGGATATAAGGGTGCTTTAGATGGATTCTTTTGTACTGCTATAAATACATCACAAGATTTTATCATAAATTCTAGATCCTCGTCTAGTCTAGGCCACCAGAGGTAGCTTCTGGCAAAGTCTTTGGATCAGACAATTCCCAAATGTCCTCCGTGCAGTTCATTCAAAAGTCTTTTGCATTACACCGCAGAACTGAATCATTCCCAACCAAGTTCTCAAATCACTTTGATTAGTTTAGTTAGGTGCTTTCACAATGGTTTCTACTTTGTCATCAAGTGGCTTAATACCTTCCTTATCCAGCTGATATCATGGGAAAGTTAAACTCAGAAAACTGTATTTACATTTGTGTTTGCTACATTCAAACTTACATTATGTTTCTCCAAGCGTCTGAGTACTTGATACAATATAATGTCATGTTCCTGGTCACCACGTGCGGAGATTTTAAATATTATCTATATATGCTCTAATTGTGTATAGGCTTGTTCTAATTCTAATCTAGTGAATTTTTTCCCACCTGACTAATGTGAAAAACAATCTTCCAGTGAAGGAAGTGGGTACTGATCTATCTATAGTACTCTATTTACAGACACTTAATAATCGCCACGAATTCTGACCGAACTGCTTGACTTGGGCACATTTACAGTAGAACTGGTCCAATCACTATACGATACTGTATGTTTTGCCTTTTATTTTAGATGATCTAATTGCCTTTCAATTACATCTTTCAACACATAGGACACAGGTCGTGCTTTACAAAAATAGGTCTTTCAATGTTACTGATGCTGTAAATAGGATCGGGACTAACCTCCTTATTTAAACCAAAGACAGAAGGAAATTCCCTCTTAATACTCTGTG